AACATACGTGCGCGTTAATTATTAATTAATGATCGTTTAGAGCCACGGGCGAATCGTCAGGTGTGCGCACGCGCTCGTCCCTCGAGGAGATGTTTATTGCATACGCCGATAAATACACGCGTGTAATTAGCCGTACACCTGTTTGATTACATGAATATTTATAAAATATATATGTTACAACATTTATAACATATATGTGAGCATAAAAAGTAAGCGGGATTGTGAATGTGTTAATCCTAACTTGATCAACATTTCATCTGGATTTATCTATGGGAATGCACGGATGAACGAGTCACTTCATCATTTAAGATAGAAAAGTTTTCAAGTTCATTTGAATAAGAAATAGAATGCCATGACTAGACACACGTAAGATAGTTAGAGATTACTATGTTTTATATCTTACACTGCCATGAGATATACAACTAATTGCTGTCATACGATATAGCATAATTCAGAAAGTTCGAGCTTTGTATCAGAATTGTATTCCCTCCGACCTTCCGTCGAGGTTTCTTCGAATTGTAACTTTCCTTCCCTACGCGAGTAGTATCTCCCTTCATGATCTCTCTAGCCAATATATTTAGACAGGTGAAATTATCATAAAACCGCTATTATCAAGTTCTTATCTGCCTTTATATTCTAATTTCGCTTCACGGCAGTTCTTCACGTTTTGCCGGCATGATCGGGAAAGTCTAATATTATCGAGGCTATCGCGATCCTGATTCGATCTTCAAGGTCGGATGTCGCTGATTCTAAAAGGCGGCTTCGTACAAAGCGGTCCCCTTTGCCCGTTCGCCCGAGTGTGTTTCGCCTCTCTCTTTTCCTTCCTTCCCTCTCTCTCTCTCTCTTTCTTCATCACGCTCTTTCTTTCTGGGAATCTCGTTCAAGAGAGGAGATCGGCGCCCGGAGCAGCGTCTACCGTTAGCACGTGTGTCTCGTTATGCCGCGATTCCACGTGCAAATACGACGAGAGCAACTTTCAGCAAGCTTCCGTCCTGCAAAGGAGCACGTAGCCCTTCGCCATGATCTAGTTTCTTGCGTCTTCATGCGTGGTGACGTTTTAGCCCTGATCAGAGCAGCAAACTCTCGGGAGCCCTTACGAAATTTCGATATATTACGTAACTTCGCTTAGATCGTTATCCTTAGACTCTATGTGTATTCAATGAAATGTACTCTGACAGCTTTCGAAATGAAGTTATGTATTGATATTCAAGGTTACGTTCCGAAACATTTTCTCCGAGGAAAGTTCTGCGCGAGGGATGGCTCGGGACCCATTCGACCCGAAAAGGCTCGAAAAGGTTTCGGAATGGCCATCGAGTAAAATTGTCCTCGGAGAAGGTTTTGGAACACAACCTTACGGAAGTGCCAATCTCGTTCGGTCGTTAATGGAATTTACAGTGATTCCCCACACACGAGGCCCCTCTCCTCCCAATATGGTCCAATTATGCAATACAATTTTAGTCGCGTTTCGAAAATCATCTCATATTAGGCGATACCACTTGAGAGAACAGACAGCGTGTATAGTGTCGATGATCAGCGGAAATGATTCGTTGATGAGTCTCGAGTGCGAGTCGATTCATTCGCACCTGACGCGGGTGAAAGTATCATCGTCGATGCGAGTTCGCCGACAACGTTCGCACGCTCGAGAATTTCAGCCATTCCGAGTGCATCAAACTCAGCAATATCGGTTTAACGAGTCGATTAACGGACGTAGACGCGATCGGGAATTTTTTGCCTTTCCATTTTTTGCCTTGACGTAATTCAAACAAAAAAATCCATTTACATCCTTTCCCGCTTCTTAAATGATGCGGACAAATATTCCGTCCATAAAATCCATGATTGGCTATCGAGTGTATAAATTGTAGTGGATTCTCAGATTTGTCCTGTGTACTAAAATACCTTGAGATAAGTTTGAGATAAGTTAGCAGGATGCCTCGATTGCTTATTTTAATTAATTTTTTCAATTCGAGACAACGCTATATCAGGGCTGTTTCAGAGGAGAAAAATATTTTTTTGAAAAATATCACCTATCATTATCGATGATTTTTCTTTTTTGCCAGAATAATATGGTTATTATAACTTATTAAAATTCGATCGTTTTCGCTTGGACTTGAAGTCACTATTGCTTCTGTACGCGACTCTTTGTATTTATGACTTTATAATGGATGGATTTGCGTACCGAGTTGTTTTTGGAACTGTTATGAGAATTAGGTTTTCTAGTAAACATTACAATCAACAATATACACGACGCAGTCTCGCGACGACTACAGAAACGCTGTGTCACAGGATATCCTACTTTCCCCGGTATGAGTGCATTACTCCTAGATTACGACAGGTCTTCGATGTCTCCGAGCTATAGATAGCCGCTTATTAAACCATTAGTATGCGAACCTTCGAACGGACGTCATGTCGCTACACGCGTGTGGTCACCGTCTTGTTCGTCTGAAGCTCACGCGAAGAATATCTAAACTAAACTGTCGCTTTACACGTACGGAGCTGGACGTCGTGTTCGAGCAACACGCCGCGTAATTCCTTTGTATCGCGAGGTCCGGGAGATTTAAATAAACGATCTCTTATCCATCTTCCTCTACCTCTGCCAATTGAAGTCCGCAAGTCCTCTCCGTGTGTACGCGAATGTATAATTTTCGCGGTTAGTGACAGTGACCCAGCCGCCACGGCCAGTCGCGTCTGGCCCCGCTTCAAAGACTTTCTCAACGCGGTCGTTAACAGGTACGATCGAATTCCCGTCGATCGATGAACGCCGAGGCGTCTAGCCCCTGGGAGTTGTCCTCGATCTTGCACAAACATACGGTCGCTTGTTTGAGCTATCGTTTTGTAGCGTGCGTAAAAGCGACACGTGATTCATTCCGCTTATCCCGTACTCGATGTACAACGCTAATTTGGACAAAAATTAGAAGGCGGAATTGAAGGATTTTGAGTAAAAGTTCTCAATTTTGACGCCACGTGGTCCGCGGGGCTTTCGCAAAATTTGTGTATACATCTATAAAATATGCAGCCGCAATATTACGTAAAAATCGATACTGAATTTCCGAGGCTGTCGAGGCGCCTCCTTAATCAGATTTCAGTAACTTTGTTATCAGCCGAAGCTTTCTCTCTCTCTCTCTCTCTCTGTCTCTCTTTCTCTGTCTGTCTCTCACGGGACGTTCACCGATTCTGCCTGGAAATGCGGAGATTCGGCGGGGATTCTGCACCTACGCATTCGCGTTTTCTTCGTGGGAATGTAATTTTGACGATTCCGCCGATCGATTGGGGCAGGTCACGACCCGTCGGAAATAACTCCCGGCAACCTCTCGCGGGTGGCGGAACGGCAGTCTTTGGGGAGAGCAGTTAACAACGGTCTTTACGACTCACTTTACAAGACATCGAGATCGCTTCTCCGCGGCGCGTCGTAAAGGACACGTTGGTCCTCGCTCGTAATATATCGCTCGTCGCGAATGGCCGGGCAAAGTGCTCCGGTTTGTCGGAAAATGTAGCCACGTCGGGTTGTTACTGCGACACCTCGGCCTGGTTGTACGTTTCGTCAAAGTACCGTAAACTGTACCCGCCGTAGTTACCCACGTAGGTATTCATGACGCTCTTAAGTATCGACGGGGTCATACAAATTATTTAATCCATCCGGCGATGCTCACGTCTGTGCCACTCGATAAATGTTTCTTTAGAGGGCTTCGTACGCGCTGAAAAAATATTCGGTAGTTAAAAAGTAGCGATATATTTGACGAAATTGAAATAATGTCAGACGCCGGCGCGGATCCGCTACGTGTCAAACGTTTTGCGGAGTGCATTTTCGTATAAATAATCACTGACGGCGCATTGGCAACGGAGCAAGAAAAGTTGCGAGAAGGATATATAAGAACTTGGCAGCATTGATAGTGCTTTTTGGCACACGGCCTCGGTAGACGATTTACGGAGATGTGCAAAACGCTCGAAAGGACGTGTATGCATCGTAAATACGTCAGATATTTATTTGAATATCCCCCCACATTTACATATAAGGATTATATCACGCGAGGATTACACATTGCAAATCTGGTGAGTACAATGTATAAAATATTGTCATACATTTGTCACCGAAAGTAGTAATCGATGTACTTGGCTGACCTTAATATTAATTTCGGCCGTCACACTTTGCACGTAACGTTAAACAGCAAACGGGTTATTCGTGATTACCATAGAAACTAATATTTTATCCCATTATCGTCCTGCTTGGCCGTAGGACAATATCGCGGGTTTTATTCCGCACCGTGGAGCAGATATTATTTCGCGTGCGTGTATTTACACGGTTGTAATTAATGTCGAGCCCATCATTCTGGCCATTGATCGTGTCGGCCAATTGCACTCTGGATACCCAATTAGATGAATTAATCACATTTCTGCAACCGCGTAGCCGCGTTGCAGCTTTTAAACGACGCAATCATGATATCTACCGTTCACACGCACACGAGCGTGCGTATACGCCGATCGTGTTTTTACTTCGTTCCGTGACTAATTGTAAGATCCCCTCGATGAATAACAACGAGGCGCTTTTTAATGCCAAGTACGTAAGATTTATTTCGCTCTCGAAATAAAAGTGTCCTTTCGCGCCACAAAAACAGCCTGTCCCTTCATAAATCGAGCTTCGCGTTTTGTTCGTTAATTGATCGAAATTAATTCAACAGACGTAAATTGATCGAAATTAATTCAACAGACGTGGTTCGTGTGGCAATGAACTATGCGATACGTTTTTGCTGATCCGTCAGAACTAGAAATCGACGAGAAAACATAGAATAAGTGTGACACATGAAATCGTAGAACTCTGCGGTATATTTCTTCATCGCGATAATCTCCGTCCAATACAGAGCAAAACCGATCGAACGCAGAGGAAAACGCAAACTGATCGATACCGAGATCCCTGCGTCTAATTCAAAGTGGCCGTTGAGCGAGGCAGAAGGCCGCGTGATGTGATTATCCGGCGGATTAATCCAATTCGCTTCCCGCTGTTTCAGATGATGCCGAAGAGATTGACCGAGCTATCCAGGTGGCTGCTACTGGCGGGTCTCTTGTGCTGCTCGTCCTGCCAGAGCGTACCGTCTTCCCTCGAGAATAAAACCGGTAGGTCTCGTGCATCCGTCCTCCTGTTCTAAACGTGACTACGTGTCCCGCGGAATATTTTCCGCCGAAACAAGTGGAGGGCTCGAGGAGATACCGAGCCCGCCCGCGTGTTTACTATTGTAGTATCTCTCTCGTCGCACCGTCATTATTCTTGTACGGCTTCGTGAAAAGTTTATTCGCGCGAATTCGACCTTCGGTAAAAGATTCACCACGCTGTTTCAGTCAAATGTTAATGCAAGGGAAAACGCATTACACCCGAGCACATCGTTTCTGTGAAACGTTGAAGCTCTAAACGCGATAAATGTCAAATGACTTTTGTTATGAAGCGTGAGATAAATAGGACGACACTAGTTCATTGTAATATGAGATTGACAATTTTTAACTAAAAATTAAGAGAAGAGAAGTAAGATCTACGAGGCAGTCACGGCGTTAAAACAGTGGCACATGCTTAACCCTTCAGCCGCGCTATTTTTCGTAACACGTGAGATTTTGAGAGGCCCCAAATAATATAGATAGGTTCGTGTGGAATAAGAAAGGATGTTTTGAAAGTAATACCTATTCAAACGTCTACAGTTACAATTAATAAATGTGATAACAATACGATGTTGCATACAAATTTTCATTAATTGTTTATATTGCAACTCGATCGTTGCATGTTTTCGATTCGGATTCGCTATTTCGTTGCACAACAAATCTTATCCGTTGGGTCATGTTTGAACGGCAAAAAGCGCTCTGCGGATACTTCGATCGTCGTATTGCGGGCACGGAAGCTGCGGGAAAAAGGACCCGAGCTGGCGCGTCGAAGAGCGCGAGACTTGACGTCGCGACGTCGCGCGACGCTGCCATTGCGTCCAACGTCCCGTGCTGGGAATCCGATTTCGTACTTTTTGGAGCTGGAAATTGGATTTTGCAGAAGGGGCTACCAGCCGGACAGTAACTCGGCGAGCATTTAATTGAAGATACATGCGACACCGTGTCCGCTCTGCTGGCCACTTTGCGCATTCTCTAAAAAGAACAATACACATTTGTCGCGACAGATTGGTCAGGGTATACTCGCGGAAAGTGTTTCGCTTAATGCGACGTGAATACTTTTTCCGAGTTTTACGACTGCGCGACAGTGACCTCTCCTGTTCCGTCTTTATCCATTTTTGACGCATTGCGGTAAAACGAAGAAATAAAGACGAGAGTGAAGAAATACGCAAATCGATAAATACGAGTCGGAAATGTCACGATTTGATAGCGAAAATTTTATCTAACTCGTCCTTTTCACAGACTTGTTTAGTGAATTTACTTAATACAGGCGGATGACGGTGAGAATTCTAGTGATTAATGAAATAAGGCGTATCAATTCGGCACATCCGTCCACTTTCGCTTCCGAACAAGCGGCCAAACATTACTATTAATCTTAGCATAAATCTTGATCAAAATTAGCTGCACGTCATGCGTACGCGTTGCATACGCGTGTGCGTCTCCACGCACGTATCAGTGGGGCGGGTCAGTGGGTCATTCTACTCGGTGCTAAAAGACACGCACGCATGCCACGCACACCACACACGCACGGCTGGACGTGTCTTCGAGTCATTCGGGTATTTGTGTGTAACGCAAAATCACGTATGCCTCCCGATCGACAATTGTCGTCAATTTTTTTGCCGACAGTTTTCATCGGCATTATTGTGACGTGGTAGCAAAAGGAGTAAGTAATAATTAAATGTTCGCACATAACTGTTAACGCAATGAATCTGTAATTTTCATATTGAAAGTCCACATGAATAAGTTAAACAGTTTGAAATAAAATTTATCTAGTTAATCCAATCGAAATGTCGTTATATAAGTTGCAATTTAATCGATAGAGGAAAGCCCTCTATTATAAGATATCTTTCTAATATGAGATAGCAGGTTTTCAACATAAAAATTTAATCACGAACTTTTCGCAACGATTACACGATTTAACAATGAATTTTCCACTAAACAGATTTCGCTCCAATAAATTCATGGTGGAATTAACTACTGACGTCTATTAATTTAACAGAAGCCCCGCTATCCCATATTAGGATCCTATCTTATAATAGGAGGACTTTTCTCTATTAGTTTTATTAATTAATTCAATTAAATCTGAAAGAGAACGTATTCGTGATTCTAAACCTTCGCAAGACTTTTTCAGAACTTTTAGACGCGAGTCTTTCTGACTCACAGTTACAGACATATAAATCATTTTGGCACATTTTAATTTATAAACTTCCTCATTTGCAAAATAGTGCCGCGATAATTGAATGGCTCGCAGAAAGCGCGACGCCCGATTACGATCGCTGGAAGTTTTCGTGCGAGACCCCGCGTGAATTGTAATTTTTAATTCGCGCCACGCCGGGATAACGCGTCGGGAAACGGCGTCCTAGGCGGATTTCTCGCTTCGGCGTCCCTCGCCGAGCGTTGTTCTACTTTCAAACAACAACGACTGACACAAAAGTACGAGAAAATAAGCGCGGCGCGCGCGCGCGCTTTTATCGCGCGCGCTCACAATAGCCAACTTTGCATTTAACGTTCCTCTTAGCCTTTGCACTCCGCCGTCGAATGCGGCTGCGAGCAATTCGTCGACCCGGCATCCTCTTTCGCACATCGCGGGACCCGCTGACCCGCGAGAAAAATCCGCGGGAGAACATGATTAATTCCTCGACTGCGCTTTTTCGCGGCGCGGACGTATACAGTGTCCCTCGTATTGTTCGTGTATAATCGATACCCGGTCGTTTCTCTGCACTGTATTCCGCGCAAAATACGGGAAATATTTTTCCAAAAATTAAATAAAACATGGAAGCACGATGTACGAACGGAATTGATAACGAGGTTGAAAATCGCGCAAATATGCACAAATGTTATGCTGATTGCCAGTTGAAAAATTTAAACGTTTCATAACCGTACGCTGACCAATGAAAAAAAAAACACTGTACAGTTTTCCACGGTTAACTTTTATAAATGGGGAGAATAATATTCGAATCCTCATCGGTATAAACGAAACGGATGACTTGTCATTCTCCAGCGGATATTTCCGTTATTCTCGCTAAATGTTTCAGTAACTAACGACCTCAGGTACATCACCCGAAGGTGTCGCGGTGGGGACACAAATTTGCGCGACGCGGAAGAAGGGTTAACGTAGACTCGAATATGCGTGCGCGGCGTATTGGCGAGGCGGGGAAATTAAAAGGGAGAAGATACGACCGCACATTTTATACGCTCGATTTCATTCGGCGCTGTACCATTTCCCAGCGACAAAAGCGGCACGGGGAATGCGGGAATATGTGTCGCATGAGCGTAATACGTACAAACGAGCGGGAAAATAATCCCACGCGCCACGGCGACGTAAACGCGCGCGCATACAGGCAAAAATATAATAACGCTTTCGGTGGCTTTTATGCATTTGCATCGCAGCCATGTTATGCTTCTCACGCTTTGTTCGGGTCACGGAGAGATTTTACCGCTCCTTTTTTCGCATTGTGCCTGGACGTGGCGAGATTACACGCAGTTATGTGCAAACATAGGAATTTGTTAACAATAAAATATAAATTGCACGCCCGCTCTTTGAATCTTAGTTAATTTCGAGTAAAATAAGTTTTTAATTGCCACGCGAACGTATCGCTCGGCGCATTGAGCATTTGCAAATGGCGCATTGTACTTTGCGTAATACGAAGCTTAATGGCACTTAATGCGAGAGTTACTCGTGCGAGATGAGATTTCAAGTTCTCGCTCTCGATTTATCGATTATATCGCCGTGTGCTCGCGTTGCTTTGTTATCCGCGTTACATCGTCGTTTTACACCTCGCACGAGCCTCCCCCGAACCGGAGTGATCGTTTGCATAATAGGAAGAAACAGCAGCCTCGTAACAATCGCCACATTTTATCTCGCCGGCTCGCTCGCCCCGGCTCGCATTCACGTCCGTCTGAATTGAAGCTGAGAGATGTAGCCCGCGTTTCTTCAGCCCGCGCGCCCGTCACTTCATTTTCAAACAATGACGCGTGAAGCTCGGCATAAAACTGCGCGGGAATAACGCGTCGCTTTCAGCATCTGCATCCACGTCGCTGAACTTTTCTTTTTCCGTCCTGCATTCTTTTCGGCGCTCTCGCGAAAGCGAGCCCTTTGGGCCAAACTACGCCGGATGCGCCTGCCTTGTCTTTAATGCCCTTTTTTGACTGTCGCGATTTTCACAACACGCGTGCTTTCCCGATGATTACAGGAACCTGGAAATCTCTTGATAAAGCTTGTCGGTCTGGACGCCACTCGACATAGTATAACTACCCAGTGAGAACACTAACGTCGCATCAACGTCGAATCGACGTCAATGGGGTCAAAACCGCGTCCCAACCGTCAGTTTTCGAAAATAATCAAAAGTTTTTCTTTTCATATTTCTTATTTTTCTAAAGTAACATCTTAAGGTTATCTAAGGTATAAATGTTCCCAAGGGATTATTTTGGTCAAGCCAATGAGAGAAAAGTTGTGTTGTGGTGGGTCTGGATAGCTCAGTTGGAAGAGCATTCGTCTGGCAAGCGGAAGGTTTCCAGGTTCGAATCCTAGTCCTAGCCCGTTATCTTTCTTGCCGAGAATTAAGAAATGGCGCGTCTCAGTGCCTACCTCACTCCTCTATTTATTACCGTGGAGACTATTACTAGTGCAGCTTTGATGATGTACGTAGACGTACACGCACACACCGCTGGATTACTGAGTAAAGCAATGGCGGAATATCACGTGATCGGAACCAAACCCAGCGAGAAATGATTTATGGTGAATCGACATCGACACCGTCAAATTAATGTCGAATCGACATCGTTTCGACATCGATCGACGAATCATTTCTCACTCGGGAAAAGATTAAAGGGCCGACAGAGAGTGGACCTACGAGTTATACTATCCCGCTCTATACAGAAGCGGAAGCGGGAGCGACCGCAGCAGGGACACGGAACGCGAGACAATAAATGCCCGTTTCTAGGATTCGCAGGCGTCCCCGCCGATCGGTGCGTTTCCGGCGAGCAACGGTTCGCGGGCTGCGACAATAAATCCGGAAAGAAACCTCGCGACGGGTCCATTACCGCGCCGCGACTCGCAAGTCTCTTAACCTTAATGAATCTTTGCTCGGTTGCCAACCGGCAGTGCATTTCTCTCAAAATAGCCCGTGCCGCGCTACGCTTGAACCGCGGGTGAACCTCGAGGCGCGTGTCTTTCAGCGCGACGTCAGACGTGCAAGACTCAAAGCGGAGGATTGTTGGAGGATAGTTACGTGTGAGCGCTTTCGTATGAATTTTTTAAATATAAATCTGGATCCACACAGACCGAGCAAACAGGCGCGAGTAAACCACACGATTTGCTTCAACGAGTATGAACGGCGCCGCGAATACCAGGCGGCGCCTTTCGCATTCATTGAGGCAGGTTGTTCGTTCGTGCTCGTTTGCTTGATCTGGATTCGGACTGATGCAACGCATCTTGATCTCTAAGGTAACTTAAACGTTTGAATATTTGACGACATTTGAACGTTGCTAAAACGTCCCTGGCGCCACTGACGCAGATCTCATTGAAAAATACATTGATATAAATTAATTACGCGACATTTTCGGAGCGACGTCACTTTCGGGGAAACTTGATATTTCAAGAAAAGGATTTAATATAGAAGATTGATTTGACATTCATGTATGCATTCATTCATATATGTAGCAGTGATGGGTCTCGGATGAAATTTGCAAAGGGCGAGGATTTAAATCCCGGATGCGCCCGATCCGAGCTCTCGCCCCGTGCCGGGGACTCGAACGAAATCTCCTAGCACATAATATTCCCCGAGAAATTACTTAGGCGTCACCTGTCCCCGCGTTTGAAATATGCTCGCGCAAAACTGCGGAGGTCGCGGATCCGACCGTGCATTATGCAGACAGGTAACACGAGAGGAAGAGACGGCGGCGAGCGCACGATGAGCCGGAGGAGCTCTGACCATCCCGTGTCGCGCGCGCGTATACATTCGCGAGGCATGACACGTGTATTTATGCGACATGACTGGGGAATACTGGCGCCTGCCGGCTGCCGTACAGCCGCGGGACATTCCGACACACAGCGTCTCGCGTTTTCGTCCTGACGACGTAATGCTCGTTCGTACGTCGTAATGAGGCGCCGCGAAGGAAAATGACGGACAACGACGCTCCTACAGCATCCGTTGCGATTAACAAATAAATGAAGCGCGTGCCACGTTATTGAAATTGTTACGCGGAGAGAATTTTCCTTTAAAATTCACCTCGAAAATTATATAATCGTGGGACGACGCGGCATTTCGAAGAATTTTATGGGAATTGCTTAAAATTTTACCATACATTTTACTAGTAAAATTATTACCAAGTATTATTACTAGTGAAATGTATACGGTAGAAGTTAAAAAAAACTCTCATAAAATTCTTCGAAATGCCGTGTTGTCCCACGATTACACAATTTTCAGGATAAATTTTAAGAGAAAATTCTCTCCGTGTAGCTTTGCACTTTGCATTCCTCTTCTTGTATCATTTTATTTCGCTAAATTCCGCTTAGACGTTCGACGTTGATTGTGACGTATATTTTGTAAACCTTCTCACATTGCTTTCACCTGTAAAAATGTACGATTGTAAATTCGCGGGCAGTTCTAAATTTTTAAACGTCAACCTTACCTCGAAATGTATCATTTTAATTCCCATATCCGTAGTTTAATCGCATTAAGCGTGATTAGCGTTAGTTCCTGAAAGACACGCTTGAAAAGTTTTATTCCCATTTGAAATGTTGTCACGGGTGAACATCCGTCTCGATTACGACGGGCGAGATTTCTCTCGGCTCTCGGAGCTCTCCGGCACTCGAGATGTCAGCGGCACTTCCGTCAGCGCGGCGCGCGTATATGGCGCATTATGCATCGCCGCGCGCATTGCTGGCTGCACCTGCGGCCTGCGCGGCTTTAATGCCCGACGTCTACCGCGTTTACGGCGCCGACCGTAGAGATAGAAACGTCGATTGCCTCGATAATGCCGGAGAAACCGCGTACTCTCGACTAGCCATTATCGGGACGTTTTCTCGCGAGATATTGGGCATGTGAGCGGCGACATCCGCTGCCGTGCCGCCGTACGTTGTCTTCCCCGGTGACCACGTGCACCCAGGGTCTTCGCGTGAAACGTCGTACGTACGCGAGCAACATCCGACAGCGCTCGTGGCCAAGTACGGTATAACGTTACACGTCGTGTCCCGATTGGGAATTAGATGAAAACCTTGTCGTTATTCTCTTTACAACTCGGCCCACTCGCGAATGCCGACTCGCGTTCGTACGTGCCGCGGCGGGACGATCGCACGTCTCTCCCGAGCCGTTGGGAAACTTAATCAAATTAATCGCTGGCGGAGGCTGCCCGGGAAAACTTGCCGCGACGGTGCCCACGTCTTCCGGCTTTCCCGAGAATGAGCCTAATTGCCGTGCTATTCTCATAAATCGCGAGGGGAGGCAGGTCGTTGCCGTGCTTGACGAACGGTCGCCGAGGATAGCAATCACGCTCGACGATAACTGATCGTTATAGGCGTACCACACCGCGGTCGGCCGATATCTGCCTCGCTTAAACGCGAGTGTACGTCAACGCGCGGGTATGCGAGGCGAAGGCGCCCCATACGTCACCCTTCGACGTTGAAAGGAGGCGCTCCTCCTCCTTGCGGCGAGAGACTTCGTTAAGACGCTCTCTTTCTTTACCTCGCGAAGACGGGGGGGCCTTCATCGTTTTCGTGGGGATGGGCCCGTCCGTGCCCGCTATGTCGCTGGAACCCCAGATACGACGCGACGTGAATTGCAACTTCGTAACAGGATCCTCCTGCACCGTGACGTACAGGAAGGCGGATGTGTGCGGGGGGATGGACTACTTTAATGTTATCATCCTGGGTGGCTTTACGCGTTCGTTCGCATCGCGCTCGGAAACAAAAGTGGCATTGTCCGTCGGGCGGAAGATACTTGCCGTATCGGGCGGGACGTTTACTCGAGAGCGCTTAATTCTCTCTCTTTACGTGGGATATGGAAAAGGAAAAGGCGTAAAAGTTGTTCCGCGCCATCATTCCTCTCGGCTGCAACGCTAGTCAAGTCTAACGAGCGATTTTACGCGTTTGCAATATTCACTGAAGAGTTACTTAAAACACCCCGCGGTATTTTTGCGCGACGCTTTACGTTTTGTCGTGCTAATGTTCGACGATTTAACGCCGAACGTCCCCGAGGAACGGGCAATTCGAGATAACGCTGATTAAAGGCATCGTCTTCGGATTTTATTGTAGGTTCCCTCGGCGCGTGACGAGGAGATATATCTGAGATATCGAACGGTCCGCGTCGCGTATACGACGTCGTCTAGCTTGACGATGATGTTAAACGAAAGTGCAGGCGCGCAGACGACGCGCCTCGCTGTTGTGCGGTACCACGTATTCCAGAAACGTATAAATTTATACGACACGGCTATCCGCGCGCGCGGATATATCGTATCTCATCGAGCCGGCCGCGGCCGTCCTCTCACTCGCGTGTGCACCTAGTGTCCCATAAATTTATGCAGCCTAGAGGATCGTGACGTTAGCGGTGCCGGTAGGATAAATCAATCGGGCGAGAGAGCGCGCGCGCGGCACGAGAGAGGGCTATAATAAAATTAAGAACAATTAATCACGACGACGGAGCTCATTACTCAAGGTATCCAATTCACGTTTATGCGCGCCGATCCAAGTATAATTGGCTACTCTCTCTCTATCGCCGGTCTCCTCTCCCGTGCCTTTCGCGCGTCGCAGTGAGGCGCTTCCACCGTTGACCCGCGATGCGTCCCGCCGGCTTTAATCGGTCACGACGACCCTCGAAATTTCTGTTCGCAGGCGGCCAGAACGACAGCCGGCCGCGGATATTCTCCCCCAGGATGGACTACGACGAGTGGACGCCGTTGGGACGCGGCGACCCGCTGAAGAACAATCCGACCTTCGACTACGTGCCGCCGGTCCTCGACAGGGTGCAGTACTGGTTGGACTCGCAGCAGCACACCACGGAGCCGTCGTCGAAGCGCGATATCCTCGTGCTGGGCGTGACCGCGAAGAAGACCAGCCCGAAGATACCCGAGCAATTTCTCAAGTTCGTGGACGGTCCGAAATTCACGCGGACCGGAAGTCAGGACGCGACCTCGTACAGGAACGACTTCACCGGCAGCACCGGCGCTGAACCGCCCAAGATCGTGCGCACCACTAGCTTCCGGAACGGCCTGATCGACTACAGAAATCAGAACAGGCTGCAGTCGTTGCCGGCCAGTTACTATCCGAGCCCGTATTACAGTCAGAAGATTAAGCCGTACACCATGATGATGCCGCCACCGATGATTCAGAAGGCCGAGACGTCCACCAGTTTCAACGTCGGCGCGTCCAAGGACAAACTGATCGGTTATCCGGACACGTCGTCGTCGTTTAGCACGCAAACGGAGGAAGGCCCCGTCCTCCAGGATACTCAGTATTACGGAACGCCCTCGAGGGATTATGGACGCTACTCCCCCGCGTCCTCTTCAAGACCGTACCCCACTTCGAAGGCGCCGCCGAGCAAAATCGAGACGATCAAGAGCATCTACGTACCGTCCGCGTCGCAGAGCACAAAGTCGAGATACGAAGCGACCACCGCGCCGTCCGTATCCTTCGAGAAGTCAAATCTAATATATCAATCGACACAAACTCTGTCTGGCGGATGGCTCGGCAACAACGGACCTTCTTCCTCCACGGTATTTCCTCTGGACGTCAATCAGGTCACGTGGCAGACGTCGGATTACTCGAGAGATCACTACGAGATCGATCATCACGCCGCGGCCTCGTCCAATCACGAGGTCGTCGTCAGCCAGAACGCGAATATCATCGTGGACGCCAGTAAAAACGAAAATGAGGAAGTAGTCGTGGGTCAGAAGGAGATCAGCACCGAAGCAACGTCTTCGACGACGGAGAGCGTCGCGCAGACCTCCACCGCCTCCACCACGACTACGGATTCAATCGGGCAGGAAGAGGAAACTGCGACGGAAACGCAATCCTCGCAGAAGATGCACATCGTTGTCGCCAATTCGCCGTCCAGCGTCATGGATCTGCAGACGCATGAAGCGAAGAAGGGTCCGGTCGCCGTGGTAATGCCGACGAATTATGTCGAGAAGAACTTCTCTGCAAGTTCCTCAGATCCATCTACGACAGCGCATAACAATGCTTGGGAGAACCCCACCACGTCCGAGATGACAAAGACGACTTATCAAGCGCCGAAGTCTCAGTCGCAGCCGGTAAGAAACGCGATAACGAGTTCGCCAATTTTGCCGGAGAATCACCCGTCCGCTTCCTCCGTGCCGAACAGGATGATACCGCCCTCCCAGCTTGCCCATCAGCCTTCGCATTCGCCGGTAATGCCCCCCAGACACACAGACGGCCCCTCGCACATGTTTGTCCCTCCACAGGCGGCCTCTCAATCCATGATGCGTCCTCAGGCCAGACCAAACACCATGATGCACTTTATCGGCAGCATGCGTCCCGGTTTCCGGCCATCCTCGCCGGTATCGATGTCTCATATGTCACCGCCTATGGCACACATGCACGCGCTCTCCCTTAACAATATGATGATACCAAACATGGAACATCAAGCTCATCAACGACTACCTCAGCTGTTCCCCGTGACGTTCACCAGCCCGCCGCTGCCGTCGACTTTCAGCACGCAGATTCCCGGATCGGACGAGCAGCCGATCGACCATCGGCCGTCTCGATTACCGACGACAACCGTGACCACTGCGCCGTCGTTCACGCCGACGATCTCTACCGTCGAGTACACGCCCACCGTGGACACCATGGACCACCACGAGAGCACAAAATCCGACAAGTCGCCTCTGGTGAAGATCCTCAATGCCGAAGAGATTCCGAAGATGAAGACGCCGTCGTCGACGACTCCATCGCGCACCACGATCGCTCCGAGTCTAACCACCGACCCGATTTTCTCCCATTACAAGCAACCAGCCAAACCACTCCGCGGCCCGATGTATCTCATCATTCAGGGTCACTCGAAGGTAAAGACGTATAAACCCACGGTGAGCAAACATGACGTGCCCGTGGAGAACAACGAGATCGCGGAGAGCGCGACCGAACGGCAGCTATCCAAGTTGGAACAGCTGATTCGGGAAAACACGAAGAACGGCGCCGTCGATCTAGCCGCGGAGAAGAGAAAGCTGGAAGAGAAGGCGCGCGCCGAAAAACACGTGTCTTCGCGCCAGGAGAGTCTCATAAGCCTGGTCGAGAGCGGCTTGAGCGGCTTCACCGTGTCACCGTCGACGGAAGACGAGCGTCGCGTATCCAACTCGGTTACGAGCATCGAGATCAATTAAGGATTCGCCGTTTACGACAGCTCTCCTATAGGAGGGACAAGCTCGACAGGCGGATGCTGGCAGCTGGGGACGTCCACACGCAGGAGTCCCCGCTGCGCGTTGGCAAAAAGGCAGCCGCCATTCTCAGTAGGGATGAAATTTTCTTAGGAACGAGGCCGATTTATTCGTTGCTTATACGCGGTTCGTACCGTAAGTCGTTGGGTGAAAATCGATGGCCGAATGTCGTCGGGCGCGCATGAGATGGCAACTCGAGAGATTTCATGGGCTGACCCTCGCGCGGCACCCTCTCTCGGCATAGGAGCTACTTGGGGGATACGTATAGCTACAGTACACGCTGACAAGCGAGGTGTCGAAAATTTTACGTTATTTATTTTACCTTTGTCGTTCCGTGATATTGAGTGCCTCTATGTATTCTTTAATACCAGACAGTCTGAACGAATTTACGTATTTATAAATGTGCAGATAACGATTGAGTTATGGTACACGGAGACAAGTCTACGGTAAGCGGATATACGAATGTATGTTTATCATATTGATTATTTATTCAAATCGTCGAAATAATTCGATGCTTGATCACGCCCATTACATGTAATTATTATAATTGTTATATTTTAATGCATACGTCATGATCATGAATAATTTAATTCTCAGATTTTATTAACTTAATTTATTATTTATTTCGCTTAATATGTAGGCTGTATTCACTTGATTTTATTTTATCACACGCGCACTGCGAGAGTGCACAAAATCCTTGCGCCGCAACTGTAATCTGGTCAGCATTGCGACTGTAATCGCGCAACAATTGAAATCCGAAGCAATTAGCGACGCAATCAACGATGCCTCCTTTTTCACTTTCGCGTCAATGCCTGATCGCGCGCGCTAAACAGGATAGTCGCGAGTACGTGAGCGTGTTTCACGTGCCGAGATTTTTCTACATTTGAATAATCTACATTTGATTTTCGTCGCGGAGAAAAGATCGCATCCCTAGATTTCTCGCAAAGTCACGCCACGCGGAAAGAATTGCTTTTGCATCTCCGCTCGTCGTTTTCATTGCGTTTGCTCGGGATCAACGAGTGTCACTCGCGATGATAACACACTCTCGCTGTCGCTAGATAACAGCGGCTCGACCAGTTCTCTTCATGTCCTGCCACGCTTTCGTCCACGATGAGAGAAGCGCGCCAATTTCATATGTGCCAGTATACATAATTACATTACATATATATATATAAAAGCGTAATTATATATATGTGTATATATATACATATGTATACAGGGTGTTGCGGGTAAGGTATCCATCCGTTCGAATACATGTAGAGCGGGTTAAACTGAAAAGAAAAGTTATGTACCATTTTGTAAAATTCCTAATAGTTATCGAGTAATTAATTAAAACGTCTGAGCGAATAAACGCGAGGAAAGCGATAGGCCGGACTCGGCAGATATTAAATGGCTTATTTGTTTAGTCTTGTAGCGGTGAGGGGCGAGCAAGAAGACAGTTCTAGGAGCAAAAGGTGCCAAGAGTGCAGAATCACTCTAGCATCCCCCTAACGTGCTTGTCGAATCCTGCCTACTGCTTCCCATGCGTTCATTCGCCCAGACGTTTTTATTTATCACTCGAAAACTATTGCGAATTTTACAAAATGGTACATAACTTTTCGTCTCAGTTTAACTTGTTCTACCTGTATACGAGCGGATGGACACCTTATCCGTAACACCCTGTATATACACACATAATATATATATACACACATATATATACACACACACGCGCGCACGCACGTGTTACACATTTATGCGGAATAAGCGATCGTTCAACGATTCCGATCGCGCATTCGACCCGCTTGCGTCCTCAACGACAGTTATCGCGATCGCGAATGCAGCGAGTGTACGAATTGGAATTCGCGTTTCACTCGCTGTTTTATGGCGTCACTCGACTCGCGTGCGCGCGCTTTCTTCCGCAATCTAAATATCGGGCAAACTCGTTTTACGATTATCGCGGTGCGATATCATTGCGGAACGCTGCCTACATAGCTATCAATGAGGGCGTAAAGCCGCATCTCAGATCGACTCTGGACCGGTCTGCGCGATTTAATTGCGCCGCAAACGTGAAGCTTACGCTCGTGTGCTGTATGCGCACAATAATATTATTTACCGTACAGCGTAGTCGAACAAAAAGAATGCAGGATGTCTGTGAAGCGGCGGATCTCTCGGACCAGATTGGCGCTCTCTTCATTGTAATTTTATTAAGTTCGACGTGAAATTGTTATCTTAAAAAAGTCATCTCTGAAATTTAATAACATTAAAATAAATATTAAGTTAATTATGTAAGATCTCTCGTTGATCACCAATCAATGTCTGGATACTGGAGCAGATACTCCTATCTGTCCCTCGCGAGAGAAAGCTTGCAGCTTCCAAGACATCCTGTACGTGTATGACGTCGATGTAATTTATAGATTTCGTGGATGTTAAGAATAGGTTTCTCTTTAGTATCATATTTATTGCGCTAGATACAGAAATCGAAGGTGGAAAGTCGTAATCAGTCGCTCCAATACATCCGGTCTCGCAGGCATTTAACTTAAGTTTACGCTTAATACTTGCATTCGAACTTTCCGTCCTCAATTTCGTTAATTCGCTACTATCTGCTTATTTATCGCACCAAACATTGTCGCCCGACAGAATTTGCCTATTTGTCGTAGACAACTGCTGATCGCCGCCAGCAAAATTTCTCGATTTTCATCGTTCTCACGTAGATATCATCGTCCTCTCCCGCACCGTTAAAATCTCCATTTACTCCCCCTCCCCTCCCCACATATTCCTCGATTCGAACAATGAATTACGCCAAGTGTAAAAACGGCCGGGCTCTCGGCGGTATAAACGCGAGTGGCGACGACTTCTCTTCGTTTTCCCGTGTCTACGGGGGGGGGGGGGGGGGGAAAGAACAAACGGATTCCAACGGCCTTCGACTCGAGGTTGCCACAAATGTTCCGTCAAACACCCTGCACCTTTAGGCACTGCTGATGTGAAACATACATTAACACTAGTCTTACACTCTACCAGTTACCAAACATATCGCGTACGTACTAACAGCCCACAGACTATATCACGACCCCTCTTGCTCATAGCGATCGTAATTAGGCGTAGTCGAAGTTACGCGCACTCACACGCAATATATATATATATACTCACGCACATACACATGATATATAGATCTATACATATATATACATATTACGTATACGGTGTATTTATTTATATAAAGATAAATTATATGTATATTCGACGATGCGAGCGCACCCCGCGCGACATCGCGACATCATCAACCCCTATACGCATTCGGCGTTACGTTCGCACGCGGGCATGGCGTGTGCATTAAGTTTACGTACGATAAATTGTACCTGACGGTCACGCACGCGTTCTGTTGATTCTTCTGTTTTAGTAATAAAGCATCTTATTATCGATCCAGGGATTCCTTCGATCCGCCATATCCCACGTTACCGTCGCTGTTTTATTAAGCACAAAGGGATCTGCAATTTGAAGGGAAAATTAATCGACCAATTATATCCAATAATGCGATCGTTTAAAAAACTGTCGCAGTTGTCTCCTCCGGTTCAACGTGTGTATGCGCGTGCGTGCGTTTGTGTGCACAGGCCGCGTTGCACGCAGCAGTCGTAAATTAAATTGGACTCCGTATAACGGGATGCGGATCCGTCAAAGAGATTCGGCATAGACTAACACGCGACGCGTCCAAGATCAACCGTGTCGACGGATGAAGTTATACCGATAACGATCTTACGGTACAATGAGGGATCATAAATTTTGGTATGGTCTGACGAGTGCATCGAAACGGCTCATTAACAGCCGGTCGTTAAAATCGTAACAAATCAATTCTTCGTACGGATGAGACGTCAGGGGCTCGAGCATCTTTTTCTGTAGCGTAAACTCGCGAAGAGTGAGAACATTTCATTGACGAGTTTAATATTTATCAATTAAACTTTTCACTTTTCGCGAGTTCACGCTAGAGAAGATTCATGTTTGAGCCTCAGCAAGCGCAACGCATCGCAAATTTTGTTTTGACTCTCATGTCACATCAAGTACTTAAAAACGTCGAGGGAACGCAATTGTTGATTAAATAATTATTATAAAATAATAATTGTAAGAGGAAGGCAAAGAAAGAGAACGAGGAAGGTGTAATACGTTGATGGATTTAATAATTTCACGAGTGCTCGTGGAATATCGCGGAAAATGCGATATTTAGAGCGACATGTAAATATAATTGACGATTGAACGGTATCAGCAATTAATGGAATGCTTTTTACGTGATAAAGTACGCGCGATGCAACCCATATACTCGCGTCGCTCGTTTATCTCGATTATCCTTAATTGAAGCGGTCAAACTGGTACACGAGAATGACAAATTTTCCGAGCGCGGATTGATTGCGTTTGCAGTTTCGCGCGGTGTTTGTGATTCCGTAAATTCTGCTATTATTAGCTCCCACTGGGAGCTGATTTATGATACCGGCTCACTCAATAGCGCCGCTTAACGCAATTTTGACATAACAGTTACTCCCTTTAATACGAAATATTTTCCTGCAGGGCGAAATAAATTATCGCATCTCAAACAGAGTAAATATTATTTTCTATCTTATTCACGGAGTATACAATACCATACAATAACTTAATAACGTCTTTTGGAGAACCCGAAATTGTAATATAAAAATATCAAACCGGAATATAATTTTCAGGCTACAAACAATCCAAATTGACTAAATCAAATTGAGCGAATCATAGTTTGCAGCGATTCCCTTTCGATTATAATTAACCGTGTCTTCAAATTGCATGCGCGCGGGTGTGCACGTGCGGACGTGCAACAAAGGCATTTGGAAGGAAGTGGAAACCCAGGAGGTATTCCAGCAGCCATAAGGTAACTCATTTTTTTACTACGTAGATTTTCTTATGTTACCTGAATTCTTTTGTCAAATATTTATTGCACATTTGTTTCTTAACCACAATCCTGAAAATGACAATCGTGATTATTAATGATTGAAGCGCGATGGATATCGCAATCACTGCCGATGGATTATCAAGCCGATCCTAAATATACGTTTTGCCATTTGCTGCCGCTCAGTGATTTACGTATTCGCGAAACGGAGAGGTTACAAAGAAAATCCGAACTGTCGCTGAGGCTGACGAACGGCCCAAGTCTGGGTGAATGAGGCCTTGGGGACGATTAAGTCGGGTTTCATCGAAAGCACAAATTTAACGTTAATTTATAGCGTAATTTAGTTTCAATGTCAGTAACATAAATCTCTCGCGGAGGACAGGGGCCCTGGGCCCGAGGGCCGCGCGACGCGTTTGCTTCAGGGGGGAGGGGGAAGAAAAAAGTCGGCGAGATAAAGCGAGGCAAGGGTCGATAAATTTACTTTTTTATTATCAAAGTTTCGGGGAAATCCAGATTGATCGAAATCGCTCTTTTATCGATAATAATGTTCTCATCTGTTGTTGCTTTCCTGTCGATTTTTTGCCCCCAACTTACGATTACTGTGCAGCATGCAGTATTGTAAGCTTATACTTACTTTTTTTCTTACGATTAATTGTAACTGATTACATGACTGAGCTAGTTTTATTTATCTAGAAGGGAAAATACAAACTGATTTAATTCGCTCTTTGAATCAGAAATCTTGAATGTTAAATAGATTTTGCCAAATAATTATACTTGCATGTTCTCCATCGCTATAAACTATATCCATGTTAAGCTTCTGTGCAAGCAACTGTAATAGCTATCTGTTCTCTGCTTCTAATATCCCAACTTAAACTATAATATATGCAGAGTATTCCAGGAGAGAAAGAGAGAGAGAGAGAGAAAGAGAGACTGGAAGGGTCAATAGTTCGTGACCGATAACGGAGACCTATCTCTTGAAATATATCGGCTTTTCCCCTCCGCGGCCTCGTCTTGCACGCTCAGCAATGAAAAATTAGGTATTAAATGTTACCACAATGACTGGTTGAAAAATTCAGCAACAAGCTCACGCGTGTCGTCAGTGAGTAATCGGTAAAATTAATCATAGAAGTAAGCGGTTTAGGATTTGTACGCGCGGAATTGTCGTGGACGTCTTCGTTTCTGAAGTAACGCCGGGGATTCGAGCAGATATAGCCTCCTCTCCGAGATTAATCGATGAAGCTTCGAAAGAGGGTGTTTCCTGTCAGACTGAAAAATTGCGTGATTAACGAGAAAAATGT